ATCTGTTAAGATTGCTTGGCTACAGCTACAGCCTTATTTACTCAAACTGCTTCATCAGAAATGGGGAGAATGGCTACATGTGGATGTTTGTCAGTGCTCGTGTAAAAGTTATTCCTTATCCAAATCCAGATGCAGAGGTCATCTTAGTGGCATATAGTTGGGAAATACGTGTCCATATAGCCAACAGGCATGGCAGAGCTTTCATAATCAGTTTTTAAGCTTTGTTCAAGGAAGGCATGTGCTAGTTGGCTTCAGTGCTAAAATCTAATACGTTTTAATATTTTCAACACTTGTGGGAGAGAGCACTACAAAAACGAGATCAAGAAGAGAAAAATTGATATTCAATTTATCACATGGTGTCCTGAAATCCATTGCTTGAGAAGTAGTCATAGCTTCTCTTCAGCATACAAGCCTGTTTTTCCCAGGTGAAGCCTCTCCACACAAGGATTTTTAATAACAGTAGTACTAATCAAAGCAGGTTGATTTCATTTGCAGGTTAAGTCTGTTGTGTAATTCTGTTGTACCATCAACACATCAATTCTACAAATGGTGTTGTGCATTTTTGTTCTTCCTACCCGAGTGGTTCATCTGTGTGAGAGGCTGTTATCTCCTGAGAAACACTGAAGTAGCTGGTATCTATACTGAAAAATTTTCACAATGTTTGCTGCTGTCTGGATAGATGATACTCAACTCTGCTGCTGTTTCAGTTCAGGGAGTAATTTCAATTCCTCGCTTTCAACTTATTTATTATACAGTTATGCTCCAGTCTTGGGTCAATGTCAGCTAGTATGTGTGAAGAAACCAGCAAGGTTTGAAAGCAATAAATATGTAGGTTGTTGGAATTTCTTTTGCACCTCAAGGAAACTCATTCAGAAGTCACCTAGATACGGAAAGGCACAAGGTGGCCTTGACCTGCCGTAGCCTCTGATTTTAGTACACAGGTGGAAAGTGCAAGATGAAAGGGAACATTTAAAGTCATCTGAACTTGCATTTGAATGAGCTTCGGGTGTCATTTCAGGAGTGAAGGAAATATTAAAATAATAGTAATAACGGACTGCTATATTTTAACAAAAAAAGGTATGAAGCTTGAGCATCTTTTTAGATGTTTCACTTTTCTGTAATGTAACTTTAACTGGTAAGTCTATTTAAACCTGTTTAGGTAAACAATTTTTTCCTTATGGAAAATGTATTTTCAATCCATGTATATCACAGAAGACAGAAGCAGTGTTTCTCTAACATTTAATCAGCATGTGATGGCAAGTAATTTGTCTTTTGAGCCTATGAGCATTTGCTTACAATGGTAAGTGATGAAACTCATACAGAACTGTATTCCTATTTCTCTCCGTTAGGATAACTTTACTGGGCACGTGTGTTTTATATAATTACAAATATTCATACTCAAAAGTAACTATATAAACATATGTTACCATCACTTGAATTGCAAGAGATTTTAAAAGTAAATATGTTTCCTATCGTTTTCTTTTTTTCTGCCCAGCATTTGGGATCATAGAAGTTTAAAAAAAAAAAAAAAAAAAAAAAAAAAGATGGGAGCACCAGCTTCTTGGAGTAACATTAATTGTTTTCTTTTGGCTATAAATCTGAGAACAAAACGATTAAATAGACTGAAGAAGAGGGGGAAACCTCAAATAAAAAGGCACTTACATTTATTGTGTTTTGCAGGGTTCCTTTTGGGAACAACCAATGTCTCTTGAGACTTTGTTTCTTATCCATTTTATAGAGCTCTGGCCTCTTAACAGCACTGCTTTAACGACTTGTTCTTGGGGTTCTGAGTTGGTATCAGCACTCGCCATGAAAACAAGCCTGTTACAAAGAGGTCAGGTTTCACGAGACAGCAATAGACTTGTAAAAACAGATTTTACTGGCACAAATAAAGTCAGAATTACGAAGGAACCGGAGATTTGCATAAGGAAACAAGATGCAAAGTGAAAAAGTATTGAGTTAGACTGACAAACAGTGTATAAATTGAAATTAATCAGGAGAAGCAAATGGAGATTTTTTTAAAGTGTTTGTTTCTACAATCATTTTTAGTGACATTAATGACATTTTTTTTTCCTGAAGATTTTGAGCAGTTCTCTGAAATTCTGATTTTGCTATCACTGAAGACTTTATTTCTGAGGAAATGCCTTTCTCTTGCTCAGATAGAAAAATGTTATTTAAATATCAGCCTCAATTAATGTTAGATTTTCTAAACAGTATGGCTGAATCTTTTCTTACTTGCTGTTGTGATGCATTATTCTGTGAATTACTAATTGTCCACTGTTTCTAGGAATTCTTGAGAAGATCACTTCTGACTTTAATCTTTACCCTGTGATTTATCCTGTGATTTACAGGATGTATTGGAATAAATCATTGAAAAATAAAATCTTTGTTTGTAGATATGTATAAATATGTGTATACTCCGTGTAGCATACACAGTCTATAACATATAGTATGTAATACATTATATACTACTTAGCACATGTCATACTATATATTGTACACATATATCATATACCCATATATGAGGGTATATCAGTGATTCTGAGGCTTGCGTTATGTTGATCTGTGTGGTTCTTATCATCATTTATACTTTTTTTGTATTCCACAAGATTTTATTTTGAAAGTTAAGCAGGCTTGCCTGGCTGACGATGTCATGCTTTCACTAAATAGGTGATGAATGCAAAGCACTATGTGTTCTCTTAGAAATTTCTATCTGTTGAGAACAGCACTGGGGGAATACTCTGCAGCCTGTCTGGATGGACACACGCTGTCTGTGTAGGCAGGGATGGGGACAGATGAGAAGGAAAGGATGTAAGACAAGTCTGGATGCTTTTATTTTGCTCTTCTGTAGTGGAAAATGGCAGGAGATTGGACAGCATTAAATTCAGCAGAAAACAAAGCTGGCAAGTTCAGAGTTATGGGAACAATCTGATACATGGACGGATTATTTGAGTTGCACTGAATCACAAAGAACTATAATGCTTTCTTATGATGCTTTCTTTGCAATTGAAAGAAAATATGTGGTTAGGAAGAGAAGTGTTCTGTTTCCTCTCCTCATCCTATCTCCACCCCATCTCCTGGCAGGCTTCAAATGTACAACTTCTGTTGTGACAGCTTTATGCAGGCTGTGGGGTTTCTGTTTGCTTTAAACAGAGTGGTTAATTTGGGCTTAACCATGAGATTTATGAATCTGGTACTGTTCAAAACTGAGAGAAGTAACTGAAACTGGAACAATTAACTGTGTTAAATTCTGCAGGTGAGTCCAATTCTCTCTGCAGTGAGGGTGCAGAGTATGCTGGGGCTGTGGAGACCTGTTCCTAAAAGCCACAGCCAAGCATGGGGCTGACTGTGGATACCAGAGCATTTCTGCACTCATCCTAGCAGTCTGTATCACATCTGGGGTGAAAGACCTTGTTTCCAATGGCCATAGTGTTTGCACCATGTGGTATCTGCTGTGGTAGCTGCTTTCAGATGGTTTTGCTACACATGGTGGTTTGGTTGACTTGTCAGTCAGTCTTTGGGAGGTCTGTTCACAGCACTGCAACACTTGGGCTCTGGCAGTATGATTAGGAATATTAATTCTTGTAGTGCTTGTGCAACTACTGGAATGCAGTGCAAGAAGGATTTACTCTGACCTGAGGTATTAAATAGCTCTACTAGTAATAGGATAGGTAGGCCTGTGTTAGGGATTAGTTTGTGCATGGAGAGAAAGCAATTGGGTGATGTCATATTTCCTCCGCACTCCAGAATTTGATTTTTTTATGCTATGGAAGAGTATCAGATTGTGGGGTAGTAGTGGTGGGAGGGAGCATTTGTTAGAATGCTTGGTGTGCATCAGTGCTGCATGTGTACTCTGTGCAGAAGAGCATCATTGAGAATGCATTGCAATAAGTAGGAGGTAGAACAGTTGAAAGAAAGTGAAGTGAGTAGAGGAATTATTTCAACACAAAGCTTAAATATTAAGAGATGGTTAACTTACTAATATTGATCTGTTACATAATTTTTTTTTTTCTAATTTATACATCAGTAGAAATGTACTTGAAATCCTATATTAAACACATCAGTACCATTGAGGTTATGCAGAGATTTTTGCCTGTGCAGTTGCATGGAGTGGGGATGTGTGCAGAATTACTCATGTTGTGAGATATCCAAAATGAATTGCCTCTGAAGAGCTGCTCTTTGTGTTAATTATGTAGTGAGTAGCAGTAAATAGTGCAATTAATTAGAAGCTTTTGTATTCCTTTCCTTTTAGCTTTTATTTCCTGAGCGTAGAAGTCCAACTACTGATTAGTTTCTTAGGTTTCTGCTAGCTAGAAGGTATTTATTGATCTGCCAATGCAGTTGGCTCGGTTTTGTGAACTCCTGAAGTTCTAACTGCTTGAAATTATGTTGGAAAACACTTGGGCTTTTGGTATGAAAGTGTTAATACCTGGTTCCAATTGTTTTGAATTTTTGCTTTCTTTTTCTATCAAACTCATTGTACAATGCTCCAAACACTCTTAAGAAAGTGAGTGTTTTTAAAGGACTGGAATATGACTGTCAAGAACTGAATGTTCTGGGAATTTTCTTCTGCAGTTTTGTTATTGTTGTTGTTTTTTTTCTGTTTTAATGAAGTATAGTGGGGCTCAAACTATTTGTGTTGATGTGAACAGCCATAGTTTAATAATTAGTGTGCTTTCTAGCTACACGCCAGACAAATATACACTTAATTCTATTAGAGACACATTTTACTGTTTGTTAAAACATTTTTATAATGAGTTGAGTTAAAATGAAATTATGCTAAGTATACTTTCAACTAATGAAAGCATGATGTTGAACAAAGTTAATAAGGTAATTAGGTCAGTGTTTCCTTACATGTAGGAAAGTGGACTGTTTGAAGTGTTTTAGGGTATTTCTTCAAGTTGATCTGTGATCTGGAGCTTAGTTTATCTAGGAACTTTTCCACTCTTCAGTCCTATAAGTTATATGTCCTTGTATTTTTTTTTTTTTTTTTTTTTTAGCCATTTCTGCTTTTGAAGTTCAGCCACTTTCAACTGAGGTTCAGGAAGGTGGAGTAGCTCGATTTACCTGTAAAATAGCAGCAAACCCTCCTGCTGTTGTGACGTGGGAAGTGAATCGAACAACTTTGCCTTTATCTATGGACAGGTACGTAGACTTAGCCATTTCAGGATAACATTCTCTGTGATAATTCTGAGCCAGATACAAAATAATATCTGAACACTTGTAATGCCAGTACATAAAAAAGGTTCTAAGTGTGTATTATATCAACTACTAATTAGTCTAATTATTAGCAATAGTTACGTTGATAGTTAATTTTGAATAGATGTTATGAGCATGGACCAGAATCATCTGCTATTGTAGATGCAATAGAGTCACAGAATGAATGTTGGTCTATGAATTGTTAATGGAAAATTTTACATTCTCAGGGGTGGGGAGTAACGGGATGTAGAATAGGTTAGGTTTTAGTTTTAATGGGCAGATAGTTTAAATTAATGAGTTTGCTTTCACAGATGCAATGTAGAAGAATTAATATTGAACCTGTGTGTTTCGGGTTCTTTTTTTGTTTTTAGAGTAAACATCTGTAAAGAATTACATGTGCAAAAAAAACTGAATTAAACTGAATTAAATCACTTCATGCTAGGTAAATTCTTCATAAGGTTACTCGTCTCTTGAGTTGATTAACTTGAGATGTACAGCCCATTTTTCTAGCTATTTTCCCTATCCATACTGCATCCACTGAACCTATTTCCATTCTTCTTGGCACCTAACTTTTGTTGAATGTGGAACTAGCATGCAAAAGAAGGTAAAAGAAGGTACAAATTAAAAACATGAAAATTATAAAAAGTATAGGTGGGTTTATTGAAAATTCCATACCCTGAAGTGCCACTGTAGCAGAAACTATTGACAAGAAAACTGACCAACCCAAGTAACATGGATGTGGTATCTGCCTAAAGAAGATTGGGATGTTTGCTTCTGAGAACTGAGAAAGATCTGCTAGGTAAAAGTACACAGATTGCTCTGCTTTTGTGGTGGCGTTAGTGGGGGAATCTCACCTGTAGTTCAGAAAGTGAGTCATGTATAGAGGGTGTTTCTGAGTCTCCAGCCTGCTGTTCCCAAGTCAGTATAGCAATGGCTGTTCATAAAAATGTTCCTTTCCATGATGCTGTTCACTGGTGGAACACTTATCTACATTTCTTTTTTGTTTATGTGCCAGGATTACTGTTCTACCTACAGGAGTTCTTCAGATCTATGGTGTTGAACAGAAGGATGCAGGAAATTACCGATGTGTTGCCACAACAATAAGCAGCAGACGTAAGAGCACTGAAGCAACGCTGAATGTTATTCCAGGTACTCAGCATGTGAGATTTTTCCACAACATTATTGCCTTATTTTTAACATAGCAAAAACACTTAGATGCATTAAGGAGCAGTAATTACCTCTGAACCGCTCACCAAAATAATAGTTTTACTTGCTCAGATCCCATGGCTAAAATATTGTTTTGTGTACAATTACTGAAAAAAGGATTTAGTGTAAATTTAATTTTAGGCATCATTTTTTAATTGTCGCATTTTTATTCATATATGATTTATTTTTTGTTTAATTGTGTTTACTTTCTTTGTTGTTGTTTTTTTTTTTTTAATTTTTGTTTTTCTCCAAAGCTTCAGACTTAAAGCCTTTTCACAAACCAGCCATAATAGCTGGTCCTCAAAATGTTACAGCATCTCTTCATCAAACCGTCGTACTGGAGTGTGTAGCCACAGGGAATCCAAAGCCGATCATCTCATGGAGCCGGTTAGGTAGGTCTTAAAATTACAGAACGCAATCTTGAGCTTGTGGAGAGGAAATGAAATTGGAAAGGGAGGATTTCAGCAGCTGGTTCCTGTTCTGAGGCATTGTGTAGTAGATAGGCAGCTATCAATAGGTTAGGGTAGGGTGAGTGAAACACTTTCACTCATGTACTTCCATAATGCTGATGAGAACCCCTGAGGTTTTCCAAGGACTCAGCTGCTTCTGTTGTCAGTCCTGCACTGCCCGCAGAGCATAATAGACAAGGTGCCTGGTGGGGTGGAGACCTCCAGGGATCTGGCAGTCAGAACAGAATGACGGTTGGGTTAGTGAAGATTGGAGTGGCTACATCCCACAAAATAATCCTGTAAGTGCTTCTCTACCTATTCTTAGAAGCGGTATGTGAGAGGGTTTTAGGACTTGTATGAGTGGGCAGTTTAGATTCTGAATAGCCATAGTCAGATCCTGAATAACCTGACTAGAAGGAAAAAAGAAGAGAGGGAACACAATAATAAAATCAATAGCATTCATCACTGTGTCACATTTTCTGTCAAAATTGCCTCAGTTTCTCCTGACGCATACTTAAATGTGAAAGTCAGGACTATACCTGTAGAAGCAAATCATCAGATGATTTCCTATATTTTATTTCTAGAAGTTGGAAAAGTCATGGAATGATTCCGTAGCTCTTCTAGGCAAACAAATAAGAAAATAATCACATAACAGCCTAAGCGCTTTTTGTAGAAAGAAAATAGAAGAAAACACATGGTAACCAAATATGTTCATTTTATTCCAAACACTATTTAGGAGATGGATGATCCCTGATTGTAAAGATAATGTGGACATTGGTAGTAATATCTTTGTATCTTTCTGCAAGCTGATTAGGGAGGCTAACTGGAAAAATAACGTTAGTTTTCAGCTGTGATGGGAAATATCAGTTATAAATTACTTACTAAGCATTGTAACCTAGCCATCCGAATAATCAGATACCTTCAGTTAAGAGCAAAGCAAATGCAAGATGGAAATCTCTGAAAACTCATTTGTGATTTCCTTTTGTGTTTTTTTTGACCCTTAAACTCTAACCCATGCCTTGGATATCTAGGCAACTTTCCTTAGATAGGTTGTTTAAATACGCTGGGCAACCTGGTGACCACACTTCTCCCACTGTCTCAAATAGACCATAAGTCCATTGATGTCTTCAATACCCGTGTCCTTGGAAATGGGAACCTCATAATCTCTGATGTGAAGGTGCAGCATGCGGGCGTATATGTCTGTCGAGCCACTATTCCAGGCACACGAAACTTCACAGTAGCAATGGCAACTCTCACTGTGCTGGGTGAGTCTGTTTTGACTTCTGCCATGTTTTAACATCTTGCTTTTGTCTTGAGCTGTGCTATGCACTGGGTTGAATTTTTCTCTCAAATAAAGTGCACCTAGGGTTATAGCAGCTTGCTAATGTGGAATGGAGCTGTGGCAGCCTTCTTTTGTCTTTGAGATGAGAAATGTCAAATACTGAATGTCTGAGTTACAAACTATCAGTTCATTTCCACTTAGAGACAGCAAGGTGCAATGCTACATCTGGAAGACTGACTTTCAACACAGACTTTCAATCCAGTGACAAAGTAAAAACATGTAATATACCCATGTGTGTCGTTAATGATGTTTTGTAGGCTGGAGTTTAATTTGCTGTTTGTCTTCACAAATGCATAAACCAGAATGTGTATCAGTGTTGCTTTTTGTGCAGAAAGTATTCATTTTTAAACAAGTGTACTTTGTTTATATGAAACGTGCTTTCTGCATGGGTGTGTGTGTGTTTAAGCAGCTTGAGGAAAGAGGCTTGTGTGTAGGAAAATTCTTTCTTAATTTGAGTGTCCTGACATTTATGTAAGCTTGATTTTTTGCTTGTTACTTACCTGTAGCTCCTCCTTCATTTGTGGAATGGCCAGAGAGTTTAACAAGGCCTAGAGCTGGTACTGCTCGCTTTGCCTGTCAGGCAGAAGGAATTCCTGCCCCCAAAATTTCATGGTTGAAAAATGGAAGGAGAATACACTCCAATGGTAGAATTAAAATGTACAACAGGTAAGATTGCACTTGCTGTGTGAGAGCTGTGCTTGTAAAGAATAAACACACTGAGGATTGAGATGTCACTAACTAAATACAGTCAAACAAGGTATAACTAAATAAATGCAAATTGGGCATTGAATGTAGCGTTATGGACGTTTCCCAGGCAGAAGAAATACAGATTAGTAAATACCCAAAATCATCAGTGAAGATTTTATGATCTCTGCCTTACCTGAGTGGAAACTGAAGTGATTTTACCAGAGTCACTCTGGATCTACAGTACTGTAGTAGAGACCAGAATCTTACCAGTTGTTTGAGGCCCATTTCAGCCCTTCTGTGGTCTGAACAGCTCATATTAAAGTATGTTAAGAAATGACAACCTTAAGATTGTTCTTTTTGCAGGGAGGAATAGATCTATGTATTTGTTTTCACCATGTTTGGCTTTGCAGCAATAAACATGAATATTGACATGGGAGGTTTTGAATTACGCTTCAGGTTGTGAAATTTCCCAACTGCACATCCATTTCTAATTGAAAAGTTTGTAAAGTGTAAGTTGTTTAAACTCATGAGGCAAATATAACTGATGTTGCATTATGTAGAGCTAAGTTTTTGGTGTTTTTTTTTTTCTTTTTTTCTTTTTTCCTTTTATTTTCTTTTTGGATTCAGTAAATTGGTGATTAACCAGATCATCCCTGAAGATGATGCCATTTATCAGTGCATGGCTGAGAATAGTCAGGGATCTGTGCTCTCCAGAGCCAGGCTTACTGTAGTTATGTCGGAAGACAGACCCAGTGCACCTTATAACGTCCATGCTGAAACGATGTCAAGCTCCGCGATCCTGCTGGCATGGGAAAGGCCACTCTATAATTCAGAGAAAGTGATTGCATATTCTGTGCATTACATGAAAGCAGAAGGTAAGCAGTTTGATTTAAAGTGTATCCATATACTACGTATAAATGGTAAGAGCTGAATGTCCTTGCAAAGGCTGCCAAATTTGAATGGCTCGTAACTAGGGCTGCATCAGAGCATATTGGCATAAAAAATGTAACCAACTGACATGCATGGGGGAAAAATGCTTTTGCCAAATCATCTCATTTGTGAGGCTGAGTGTTCTTCCAACTCACCTTGTCTGATCGCTCTAGTGAACAGCTTTTGAAGTCAGGAATGGGCTTTAAAACCTGGAACCTACCTACTATTGTCTGTGTTTCCCTGTTTGTTCTCAAGGAGAAATTCTACATGTGTGCTTGGGAGGGAAGGACACCATCCTGGGAGTTGTAGTGAGCAGCTTTTCCCTGGGTTTGGCTGCTGTGTGTGCATCACCAAATTCATGTGACTTTACAGACTTTTGTGTGTTTTGGAATAAAATGATTGATGCATTATTGGCTTTAACTATCGTCTCTTAGAGTACTAACTTAACAAGGTTTGCTTTCCTACAATGAGAAATATTTATTCAAAATTTTAAATTTCATGGAAACAGCCATGAATGGTTTGCCATGGTCTCTCATATTTTATAGAAATAGCTATGTAAAAGGGAACGGGTAAATTTAAAGAAAATTGAGGAACTAGACATTGTTAATCACATAGTGTGATGTAATGTGCTTTAAGTTAAGGAAATCTTTACAGTGATAGAAAGCAGATACTTTTCATAAGCAAGGTATTTTTCATGAAACTGCCAAAGGACGTGAAAATTCTTTGGTGTGTAGCTTAAACTAATGTTTATGCTACACGGAGCTCTGTTTTCTTGGAAGACTAATTTTCTTTTCTATTCAGTAACCCGTTTATTCAAGGACAAGACTGCAGATGCTCAGCTCTGTATGGAATACCAGTCTGACATCTGCTAAGCAAGAGGACAGGAAGGACAGCTTAATTACTCTAATACTGATGCAGAAATAGCTGCCTTTGCTTTTGCAAGTGGGATTTTTCAGTACACAAGAGAATTTTGTCTGAAGGAAGGAAGGAAAGAGTTTTAAAAGATAATGAGGACAAGAGGTGCGGGAAATTACCCCCTACACTTTCAGTCACTGAGGTATTGTGCTCACAGCCCCCACTCAAAGCTAATATGAATAAAGTCACACTAGATAAGCTATCTGGGTAATTGTATGTCCGGTGCCAGTGCAGAGAGCAGAGACTGGGTAACTTCAAAGAAAACTGGGAAATTGTCCTTAGGGAAGCCTGCATTTGTGCAGGAAGTACTCTTTCACTGTAGTGAAAATGAGGTATCTTCTGAAATTTGTGTTCTGCAAAATTCTTTTGCAGTCTCTGCTTCATTTGCCTGCTTGTGCAAAGGCTGTTGCATGTATGTATGTTGTGAAATGAGATTGCAGTTTGGCTTAGTTTAAAAAAAAAAACACAACACAATACCAAACCAACACACAAAACAAACAAAAAAACCAACCACCCCAGTTATTTGAACTTTCTTTCTCTAATACCTATTTTTTTCATCTCTCAAGACAATTTTGTGACATCAGGACTTAAAAACTTTTTTGTTTGTTTGTTTTTTAATTGTATTATAGAAAAAACGTTGGAGCTCAAAGGCTCATGAAACTGCACTCACCTGAGAATGGTTGCACTCTAAGGGGCAGTCTGTAGATCTTTCAGAGGACACTGCCCTCATCAGAGGCATTCTGCTGTTTCACTGTGAAACAGGTTCAGGTCCTGTTCAGGTCCCTGTTTGAATTAAAAGAAAAAAAAAAAAAAGTTTTATTGAAGTTAGTTGAAGAAACCAACAGGTGGTGTTTTTATTTTATGTTTTAATTTTTGTTCTTTTTTAAGCAGAATATTTTACATTCAAATTGGGGTCATAGTAGCAAGAAGAATAAGGGTCTCATGAGCGTGCATGTTGGAGTGTGTTAATTCCTTGTTAGTAATTCAGAAAAGGCACAAAGGGAACAGTGATTGTGGTGGAAGGCAACCCTTGTTCTCTATTATGGCTGTTTCATTAGGGCCTCTGCATGAGGCCTAGCAATCCATTCAATAAGAGAACAAGTCCTTTTAATTTGAGCTCAAGGATCTTGTTTAGCAGGTCAGAAATCGTGCCTTGCAATTCCTAATTAACAAGCCATTAACTAGTCTGTTGTGAGATGCTTGTAATCTTGTCTAATTAAAATGCTATCAAGTTAATTCATAAATGTGGGAAAACTTAATGCTGGAATTTGCCTTTCGTTTTGTTTATAAATTCAGTTGTGAAGAGGAGGAGCTGGCTCTTACAGAGTTTTGATTAAGTTGACATGCATTTGGTGTGAATTGTTCCTTAACACAGCAGCTTTCACCACACTTATTCCACTTTATAGCCTTCCTCTATAGGAATAAAGCCCAACAAAGACAAGAACTGCTGCTTGCATTGCTATGCATATTTTAATGAGAATTGCTGAGAATTTTTTCTTTTTATTCCTGTCTCTTTTTCTCTCGCCTTTTTTTTTTTTTTTTTTATTAGCCACTCATTAAGGAGCAAAACACTTTTGAATCTCATTCTGGGCTATTCCTATTGGCTTTTTTCCAAATTAAAGAAAAAAAGTGTCAATCAGATGTACTAGAATTTGCAGGGCTAAAATGAGATCCTTCTGTTGAATAATTTCTTTGTTGTGTGTTATTTGGGGGGTGGAGGGTATTATGTTTGGGTTTTGGTTTTTTTTTGTTTTGTTTTGTTCTGATGGAGCAGAGCCTTTGCATTCCTCCCAGACTGCTATAGTAAGGCTCTGCAAACAGGTTTTGAAAAAGCCTCCTGACTCTAAACAAACAGATTTAGAAGTTTGCTCTGAATTATAAGGCTATTAGAGCTTGTCTGTTGTGTGACTGTATATTGGGTGCAGTTTGTTGTGACTAATTTTAAAAGGGGTTTAAAGCTGCATTCAGCGTTCCTGATTCAGGAAAATCCTGCAACACCATTATCTACATCACAGTAAGACACAGTTACTCGTATGCATAAATGAACTCAACTTAGGAGGCTGAAATAATAGAGGTAAGCTGGGTAAGAAAACGAAATAACTTTGTAAGATCTCACACCCAGATACTGTGATGTTTAGAGATGACCTGGAATTTTTGTGTGTTTAACCCTTGTTTTATGCCAGGTTTAAACAATGAAGAGTACCAAGTGGTCATTGGAAATGATACAACTCATTACATTATTGATGATTTGGAGCCAGCCAGCAACTATACCTTCTATATTGTAGCTTACATGCCTCTTGGAGCCAGTCAGATGTCAGATCATGTGACTCAGCACACCCTTGAAGATGGTAAGACAGATAAATACCACTGTACTTAAATGAGTGTTTTTTTGGAACTAGATGGTCTTTGATTGGCCTTCCAACCCAAGCCATTCTATGATTCTATGAAGGCCATTCTCAATGAAAGGCCCAAGGAGCTGGGAGAGCTAACTTAAACTGAACAGAGGGATAGTCAGTGCCATACAACATCATGTGGAAGAAGTTCTGAGGGAGATTCATCTAGCTCTCTTCTGCTGCTTGGGGTGCTAGCTAGGCAGGGAGTGGTAAACAATTGCTTGTGCATCACTAGTTATATATATTTATATACATAAATATGAACATTTATATATATGTGTGTGTGTATAGATATAAATGAAGTGTGTATACATATATATATATATACACTTCATTTTTTTATATATATATATATTTTATATATATATATTATATATATAAATAAATATATTTATATATTTATATATGTATATTAAAAAAATGAAGTGTATATATATATATATATATATATATATATATATACACATATATATATATACACTTCATTTTTTTTCCTGATTCTCTTCCCCATCCCACTGGGAGGTAGGGGGGTGGTGAGCAAGCTCTGTAGTGATTAGCTACCTGCTGGGTTAAAGCACAACACGTAGCCAGAAGTGACTGCCCTCATAACATGGTGGAAGGAAGCACACACAGAGTTCTAAGCATTACTGGGTGTTGTTTAGACTCCTAGTTTCAGCTGCTGCATGTAATGTTGACAGTCACTTTGACAGAACAGTAAGATGTTGACTGCCATCAATTTCTGCTGGCAGTAAGAGAAGAAAATGTTGAAGGCTTTACAGAAAGGAGCTTGCTAAGTTTATATTGTATGCAGAAGATTGAGAAGCATGAGCAGTGTCAAGCTATTCTTAAAATAAAGAGGAATCTATAAAACTGCTTATTACAAGTACCTCACCGTATGTTAAGGTGTCAGATGAGAATGTCACATCTTTCTTTTTCTGGAGCTCAAAAACTTTTGTCCTTTTCCTTTTCAGTTCCCCTGAGAGCTCCTGAAATTAGTTTGACAAGCCGGAGTCCTACAGATATTCTTATCTCTTGGTTGCCGATTCCTGCAAAATACAGGAGAGGCCAGGTGGTTCTGTACCGTCTGTCTTTCCGCCTCAGCACAGATAGCAAAATCCAAGTCTTGGAGCTCCCAGGGACTTCAGATGAGTACCTCCTTGAAGGGCTGCGGCCTGACAGTGTCTACCTGGTTCGTATTACTGCTGCAACAAGGATTGGCTGGGGAGAGGCATCTTTGTGGACCTCCCACCGAACTCCAAAAGCTACAAGTGTGAAAGGTAATAATGCTTATGTTACCCACTGCCTGGAGATGGGGCCGACTGTGGGCTTCATCTGAAGGCTGCACGTTTTTCTGATAGGTAACACAGGGATGTGAAATGAGTTTTTCCATTGCATGTTCTTATCCTAGGGACACAGGGGAATAGTGTTCTAATTATGATTTCATGTGTAATCTACACAAGCTTATGATTTTAGTGTCAGGATCAAAAGTTGTTGAGAGGTGGATCTGACTTGTGCTTTGTGTGTGACAGCAGAAAGAAAAGCCAACGTGTTACTTTTGTGTTGATCTTTGATTCTGGTCACAGGCTGATATTCACGTGTTTGATATGGTGGTAGGAAGCTTTAATTAAAATGTTTTAGCTTTTAGCTTTTGTTTCCAGTGATAACATGGTTTTCTTCTGTTCCACACGATTTTAATAAAAAACAAGCAAACCCAAAAAGATAGCAGTCCAGAGTAAAACTTTTCTTCATATCAGGACATTTCACGCTGGTAGCTTGTATGGGTGCACACGTGTCTGCTCTACAAACAAAACACAAAGTTTTGAGTATAGAGATGGACTTGAAATCCGATTTAAGTTGTTATAGCTGAATTTTGGCTTACATTATTATTTACCAATGTTGTGTAGAAGAGCATTCGTTTTGCATGAATGCCTTAAAGGTATAGATTTGAATTTGTAACAGTATTTCTTAGATTAATCCTCATCCATCTCATTTGAATTTGAGTTTTGACTATTATTGCAAATTATTATCTCTTGATGAAGCGTGATGTGATTGCTATTTACATTTACTCTGGCTTATTTTAAAGCAAGAGATCATTTTATAGATTCTAGATTATCCTCATTTTCTTTTGAGAAAAAGAAATTGAAAATACTTTTAAAAATTTTAAATAGATTTTATTTCAATTTTTTTTTGAGATGCTGAATTAAAAAATAGCTATTTCTTAATTTACCTGAAATTATGCTTTTAGATTAGCTACAGGGAATCAGACATCCTAAAAAGGAACTAAGTAGGTAAGTATATAAGTGAGCTAGAATCAGAACCTTGAGTGAACTTTTGACTGATGGGCATTCTGATTTTAATGTAGGATTTTGTTATTCTTAAATATAATAATATTATGTATATTTCTCTAAAATCAGCACCAAGATCTCCTGAGCTGCGTTTGGAACCAATAAATTGTACAACCATTACAGTTCAGTGGCAGCAGGACTCTGATGACACTGCAGCTATTCAAGGGTACAAGTTGTATTATAAGGAAGAAGGCCAGCAGGAAAATGGACCGATTTTGTTGGATGCCAGTGATCTTGAGTATACTGTCAGTGGTTTAGGTAAGTACAGAACATATTTCTTAACTGTTCTGGAAGGCAATAAATTCGAAGGACATCTTGGGGATCTTAAATCTTCTGACCTACAAGGCTTCTGCATTAGGTTTGGCCATCTGTATTTCTAGCAATAAACTTTTTAAACTAGATTTGTACCACTGATGGATAATCCTATCTGTATCCTTAAATGTATGTTGTGCAACACTTACATAACCAGATCTTGTTAATCTTGTGTAAGTTAGGAGGACACCAGCTGCATGCCACAAGAGACAGAACTGGTAGTTGGTAAATACCCATCTTTTTAGTGCTCAGTTTAATACTTGATACTTCAGCTTTTGGGTATTTGTGCTCAGGCTAGCTTAACAGTGAAAGATGAACACAAAGTACCAAAGTTTTTTCTCTGGTGTTTCTAGGCTATGTTTCTGTTATTGGTAGCCTTTGCCATGGCTATACTGCCCAACAAGCATCGCTCACTTTAGCATGGCTATAGGACACGTTACTGTAAATTCCTAAAAATATCACTAGGATACTGCAATAAAATGAAATAAAAATACCTTCCAGTATTAATGGGATAGTTACATGCACAGGGTACTAGCTAGTAGCCTCTCTGCATGTTCTCCTTTATATTTTACGTAGTACTGGTAAATATTTGCAGAACTAAACACAAATATTAGAGCATGGAGCAGTCCCCTTGTGGTCTTCCAGTTGATCATCAGACTGTTTCCTCCTGTAGCTCTTGCCTTATATATCAATTCAAGTGTGTTGGTATCACTCCTTGTGAGAAGGTGCTTCTGTTTATATATAAAAAGCTGCGTTTTTTTTAATTTAAAAGATGTGACCTATAATGTAATCAGCATAAGTGAAGTAGGACTTGACACTTAGCATTTGAAACACGATGAGAGAGTTTTCTTAGGGGTAACATGGAGAACTGGATTATCAGCACTGACCTGTGGTCTTAGCTGGGTCAAATGGCCTCTTGACCGTGATCAGATAATTCTCATCTGCTGCATACAGTTGAGATACTATTTTAGGGGAGATCATAGGGGAGAGCATTCTGGTCTGTTAACTGGACAACTGGCCATCTGTGGCCATTCCTACCCAGAGCATCTGGCAGCAGCTGACTGTTTAACAAAAGAGCATTGGCTTGGCTTGGAAGGTTGTGTCCTAGGACACAAATGTTTTTTGGGTTGGTTTTTTTTTTCTTTTTTTTTTTTTTTTTTTTGGTTTGGTTTGGGTTTTTTTTGACTTCTCATTATGCAGTTACTAAACAATAATTTCGTTTAGGCAAATTTATTAACTGTATGACTCCCATCATGGGAATTTTTCAGTGTACTAAACCTCCTCAGATTAAAATACTGTTTTCCAGAATTATATTTAAAATATATTATCTGTATGTTTTTTATTGTTTTTTTTTTTCTTCCCAGTAATCATGCAGATAGAGGACAAAATGAAAGCAAAATGAGTTTGGGGAGGTAGAACTGTTGCACAGTCATAGTGTTACCTGAATTCTAGGATGTATGGATGTGGAAGATTCATATGCTTGAATTAACCATTCAGTCATGGTAGATAGGATGTTTGAAGTGTTAATTCCTTGCCTAAATTCTAAATATCTACATATGATGACCAAAACAGGACACATCCCATATAATCTGATTGCCCTTCTTTATATTTTTAATGTGTGTGTAATTTCTGATGCCATAGGTTAGACCTGCTGAATAGTGTGTGTTATCATGCAACTTTCAAGTAGACATCAGCTTTTTTATTTTTCATGGAGCATATAGAGTTATTTGAAGTGAACTTTCCTGTGTAAGTTTATTTATTGTTTCCTTTTTAAAATCTTCTCTGTAGCATTTATAGAAAAAGGCATTAATTACCACAACTACAAAAGACTCAGTTGGCACAAGAAATTTGATCAGGTCATGGTTTTAGACTGCAAAGATGATTATGTACGTTGAAGCCTGGGAATTTCACACATGTTTCTTGTGGAGGTAGTACCTGTTTGATTGCTGTATTTGCCTATTGAGAAGTCAGCTGTTTGAAAAACTTGTGTGCACTAAATAATTTCTTAGAAAACAGTACACAATCAACCTTATTCTTCCTGTAGTAGCTGCACCTGTGGAAAATATAGTAGGTAAAATGATATGTAGTATATAAATTAACAGTGTAGCAGCAACCATGCAGTAATAAGGGACTTGATTTGCTTATCTTTTTTCTTCTTGTGAATAATCTACATGATTTAACTCAGATATTTTATTAAGATATTTCTAATTAAAATATTACCTATTGGAAAATGACTCTGAGATGAAGCAAGGGAAGCTATTGATTTAGGTTTCTGACTGTGGTACACAATCTTCACAAACTGGACAGTGGCTTTGATAAGCAATGTTCTGCCATCTATTTGCCTCTTCTTTGGACACTAAATTCACAGAATCACAGAAGGGTGACTAATCAATGAACGCTAATCAGTAAAATCAGCCTCTTTTAAATAAAGGACCTTTAATGTCTTCATTATGAGCCATATGCTTTGGTAGAATATTGCAAATTTGAGATCTTAAGGGGCAAGGTGTGTTTAGGGGCTTCATTTTCATAGATGTTGGATAACACGGTCAAATGAAAGGTTGTTTCTCATTTGGAAATGCTTGTAGATGCTTTCTCGTGGCAAAGTTTGAGTACTTTCTCATTCATACCTGTTGCCACTGAACAGTTTGTCATGACTTAAGGCTGCACTACCATTTCCTTTCCTTTTGCTTAGTTAATAAATTGCAGGTAGGGTTCTATTGAAATGTGGAGCATAACAGTAAGTATCTCCTTGGAATATTTTGCAGATGTTGATTCACATGGTTGTCAGTTATGCAAAATCTGTGTTCAGGGAAGACAATTCACTTTGTGGCAACTGAAGTGCATTAGAATGTCAAAATTCATGATCTCTTAACAAAGGAAATGTTAGCAGTGATACTGGAAACATTTTTTATGGCATTTATTAGTGGTAACATTGGTGAATTATTGTTAAATGACTTGCAAACAGCTACTGGACCCTTGATGGAAGGACAAGGCTGATAAAGCAGAGGCAGCAATGGCCATGTAAACTGCGTTTCAATAATTGAACGTTATATATAGCAATATAAATATTATGCTGTATGTTTTAATTTGTTGTTTCTTTCAGCCTTACATTTTGAGAACTGATCTCTTCTACTTTAGAGTAAGTCTACCCAGTTACTTCTGTCTATTTTTTAACTGGATTATTTAATGTGATAGTCACTGGGTAAATAGAATTAAATGATCTGATGAGAGTCAGGGCTGCCTTTCTCAAAATAAATATTCCCAGTTTCCCACAGACATTTCTTTGTGTTAAAGGTCTTGGCATTTATTTTTCATCAGTGAGCCATTTCCTAGTCCAGTGTAAAATTCCATTATCACTTCAGTTTGCTACAGGAACATACCCTTCAGTGCATACCATTCATTTTTGACGCTATTTTTAATTCCTCCTTTGCTTACTCCTGCACTAGAAAGTTCTGACTTTTTTCTTCCAGTCTGGAGAAGAGAAAGTTCTGGGGAGACGTCTTTGCAGCCTTTCAGTATTTAAAAGAGGCGTTTTAAAAAAAGACTTTTTACCTGGTCTGATAGAGTGATAGCACTAGGGGAACTTCAGTCTTTAAACTACAAGAAGAGAGATTAAGAATAGATTTCAGGATGAAATTCTTACTCAGAAGGTGATGAGGCACTGGCACAGGCTGACTTGAGAAATGCCACCTCCCTTGAGACATTCAAGGTTGGATGTTAGGTTGGATGGGGCTCTGGGCAGCCTGATCTGATGTGTGGCAGCCAGCCCATGGCAGGGGTGTTGGAATCGTTTGGTCTTTAAAGTCACCTCTTCCCCAAACTATTCTGTGATTCTGTTCTAGGCAGACTGTTTTTCTTTGTGAGATTTGTTAAATCTGCTGTTACAGATTCTGTTTGTTTCAGCATGTGTATGTTTGTTCAGAAGTTGAAGTGACTTTTCTTGGTGGAGGAGTTCATTTGGGAATCTTCTTGCATGAGTTTAAAAACCAACCAACCAAACAAAAAAAGGAGCATCCAGGGAAGCTCATGTCCCACTTTTCATTGTCTTCATGCCTTTTTTTTAAAAAACCAATCAGTATCACTGCTGCTCACCGCTGCACTGGGTGTTTGCCTGTCACAGCTCAGTGCAGCCGCATGATCATTAGGAGAGTAGAACAGCACAGGAAGGGCAGCGGCTCTGACAAACCCATTTTAGGCTTATATGGTTTGCTGGAACTAGGAACTCCTCAGAGGTAAGTGCTGCTGCTGATTGGAATCTCATCCCACCAGCTGTATCTAAACAGATTAAAATCAAATTTAGATTCTTGTTTAACAGATTCAAGAAAGCATGACCCACTGTGATACTGTAACACAAGTTCATTATTCTTAAAGTTCCCTAGAGTTCTCCCCCTTTTGAACTTTAATTAAGTTAGAAAGACAAAATAATTAGTTATTACCATCCTAGTAACAGCAATAGTTTTTACTAATTAAGTGAATGATGATGGGGGAAATGCATCATTTTCTTGTGCCATTAATGCCTTCTACGCTCGGAAAAAAGGGAGGAAAGAAAGAATTCACTCTGCAAATTCATCCTTGTGTGGTTGCTGACTGGAAGCTGTAGCACCTTGTGTGATGCTAGTTACAGTGAAGATTTCAGAAATTTGCTCTTAGGTGACAAGGCACATGTAGGATCTCAGTAAATGCTCCTGAAACCCTGAGGCAATCAGGTTGTGGAAGGGATGTGTACACTTTAGGTGCTCTTTTGTTTCTGTTGCACGCAAGATGATATCATGCTAAATAACCGTTTTCAGCCAGAAACACCTTAGGGGATGGAAAAACTGGTCTGTTAGCTTTAGTGAAAACACCTTGAGCATGACAGCACACCCAGCTTGGCCTTTCCCTGGCATGGCCCCTCCCAGGAGAGCCTGTGAAATGTTGTCCTGTGCGCCGGCTGCAGACCTCAGAGA